GAATGCGTGCACTGCAGTTGCCGCGCAGGCGCATTCGGCAATGATGTCAGTAGGAGGAGTGTTCACCATCACCGAGGGAGCGCGGTGCTGGAGAAAGAAAAGTGCCTGAAGGGGTTTTAACCCCGAGTGCCCTGCTGGAGTGGGACCCTGAGGGTGGGGTGGACCTAATGGCCCTATATTGACAAGAAAACCTTTTTTTTTTTAAAAACACTATTGTGGTCCTCTAACTGTTATCATTTATTCAATACCGACTAGGATTCATACAAATGTTATTGTGTTTATGAAGATCTAATACATATTAAAAAAAAAACTACTACATATATTTATAGCTGTCAGAATATTTTGAGGACCGTCATCGACATGCAGTTGATCCAGATATTTTAAATAGTATGGACTGGGATCCACCTGCACAGCAAGTGATTAATGACGAAAATACGCAAGCTTCACCAACAAGAGTAGGAACATCGGAATGGTGTCTGTGTGGCAATTGTATGCCAATGCAAAGTGAGGAAGAAAGTCTATGCTGCAGGGAGATAGAGAACATTGTCGATATGTTGAATGAACAACAGAATTGCATTTGCAATCTTCCATATCTACGTGAGCAATTATCTTCACGGGAACACGTGCTGTCTCTATACCGTTATGGTCTCAGCTATGTAAAATCCGCTAGATTCCGTTCTCCGGAACAAATGCAGGAAAGGTGAGTGTATCATAAATCTAAATACAGCGCATTGTTCTTTAAAACGGTCATGGATTTAAAAAAAAATGAAGCAAAATTAATCTCTAAAGGAGCACCATAGTGACACAATAAAAACCTTGTTTTGCTGGCACTATATAGTGGTTAAGTCACCCCCCAACCTCTGGTGAACAAATCCTGCTAGTCTGAAGGGGCTAAAACATCGTCAGCCACTAGCCTTTGTCCAGTGTTGTGCTCCCCCGGTGATGGTGACCTCTCCTCCTCCTGCCAATGTCCGCTACCAATGCACATGCGTGTCTATAGCGTTGCGCATTCGGTAAACAGCCTATAGGAAAGAATTACTCCATGCTTGCCATTTGAACGTCCAGCGTCTTCTCAGTCAGTTAGAATTGTGTAAGCTCCTCTTGCGAATGTCTGTGAGACAGCCACTAGAGGCTGGATTAACCCTCAGTGAAACACAGCAGTTTCTATGAAACTATGTTTACACCGAAATGGGTTAAAAATAGTGGGACCTGGCACACAGACCACTCCAAGTCAATGAAGTTGTCAGGGTGCCTGGTCCCTCTAGTTTTAACCCTGCCGCTCCAAACATAGTGTAGGAGAAACTGCTAGCTTTCAATGAGGTTTAATCCAGCCTCTAGTGGCTGTCTCACTGACAGTCGCTGTTTCCTCAATTCTCACAACGCTGGATGTCCATAGGAAAACATGGAGTAATGCGGACTCTGGCAGAAGGAGGAGAGGTCGCCAGCACAGAATGAGCTCGGTGCTGGAGAAAGTCAAGTGTCTGAAGGTGTTTTAACCCCTTCAGCGCATCATGAGGGGGGGCACTGAGGCTGTGTGGGGGGGGGACACTAATGACCCTATAGTGCCAAGAAAACGAGATTTTTTTTCCTGTCACTATAGTGCTCTTTTGTTTTTAGTATTCAAATACTACAATTGTTTATGTTTAGTTTTAATTACTTTCTATAGTTTTTGATGCTAAATTTTATATTCATAATTTAATATTTTTTCATTCTATACTCCATTGACACTCATTTTTTGTTTGGTTATTTATATGCAATGTTAAATGTTTCCTTTTTTTTTTTGTTCACAGTGACTACCGAAAAACTGCCTACAGGTCCTTCACAATGTGGGTGTACGGATACCTGGGACCCAAAAGGCGGCGTCCGATACCCTCGTGCACAGTAAAACTGATTAGGTCACACTTTCCTGCACCAGATGCGATATACATGGGTTTTAGATATGCGGATGATGACCCTATAGCTGTTGAACTTGTATAGTAGACAGTACGAAGCCTTGCAATTGTTTTAGTTTATCAAAATGTGTTAACTATTCAACATTGTCTGTTTGTTGTATATAATGTTAAAAAAATTTAATATGTTAATTTATTTTTATTGTACAATGTAAACTGTTATAAAAATGTTTATTTCTTATATTAATATATTAAAAAATGATAAAAAATATTGCATTTTTTATTATTTTAATGATACTTTCATCTACTAATTTTATTTTATTAAAAAAATAACACAAACAGTTATATATATATATATAATGTTTTTTTCAAATACTAAAAGTAATTTTACTTCAGTGTGATGGGTAAAATTATTTGTCCTTTAAACCAGCTATCACTAATTTCAATAGGGTGTCTACATGAACATAATTATTGAATAAAGTACAAAAATTGTGAAGTAATAAACATTTATTAACAACATTGAAAAAAAAATTTACAACAATAATTTAATGTAATAAATAACAAAATTTTAAAAATAAAATTTGGAACACAAGTTAACTTTTTTTTTAAAAGCATCCACATCGCTAAATTAACTTTATTGTTACATTACATGGTTTGAAAATACAAATAATATTTTTTTTTTTTTATTAAGTAAAACATTATTCGACAATATCAACTTTGAATTTTCAAAAATATGACAATAATAAATATTTTAAATTAAATAAAATAGTAAATTACAGGCACAATAATAACTTAATGTGCATATAGTTGTTATGGTTCCTGTAATGTAACATGTTAAAACAAAAACAAATAGTAAGTAAGTGCAACGTCCTGGTTTTGTATAAGAAATTATACAAACTGAACCAAAAATCAAAATTATTTTAAGAAATTAAAATTTGTTCTTCGAATACAAATTACAACTAAATTGCACTATAAACAAGTATTTAGCACCATTAACAGAAATGTCATTTTTATCACCAGTCCAAAAATTTCTTACACAAATTATACATTTTTGAACATTTTAAAGTCTTCTTGGGCGTAAACGCGAAAAGTGACGGTCAACCATTACCTCCTTTGGTGGGCGAGGTGTTGAAGCAATGTTTATTGGAAGTTGCCCTGTTTGAGACTGCCAATTAACTTGTAAGTCACCTGAGGCTATTCGTAGTACGTCAGCCATCATTGGATATATATGGGCAATAGTGGTTTTTTCATATATTTTCTTAATTTTCCAATTTTTACTCCTTTTAGAGAAAAACGGTTTGAACCTCAAGTCCCCAATGTGTCCAGTGCCTGCTTGTTCTTTCTGTATAGTGGCCTGTTCTCTGCCTACATTGGCGTTGTGGGCCAAAACAGCCAGTTGTGTCCTGGCTACCATCCCATCCATCGTGAAATGTACTCTTTTGGGACGGTATTTTAATACCAGGCTATGAAAGACTTCAAGTGATCCCGTGTGGCAAAAATGAACCAAATGTGGAAAGTCTTTCTCTAATTTTGAATCTGTGACAAAGCTTCGAAGTTTGGAGTATGCCACTCCATTTTTTTTCAACCAGGATTTCTGTTCAAGAGTTTGATCATATTCCGCATGTTGACATTTTTTGAAAAGTGTTGCAGAGTCCCATTCATGTTCGTTTATAATGTGATGCATTACCGACAGCCATTTCTCTTTTAACAAAATTGGATTTCCTTTGCTGTATGAACAAGCTGCCCACATGTGATTTATTATCGAATTTTGCCACGGAACCAATTCCTTGTACATCGCTTGGCGACATATGGTTGATAGTTTTAACCGAATGCTCCGACAATAGTGCCATATATCGAATTGGTGATTAATGGCTTTGTATCTCTCTCTCATGATTTTCCTTATGCTTACATGACGATCGGTAACGAGAATTGAAATTAGAATTTTGTCGGCTAGTACTTGGTCCATGCAACTTTTGAATGCCAGTGATTCCATAGCAACAGATGATTTTGCGTCACTCACTTGAATTGTTTGACATTCTATTATTTTTTGCGATTTTTCCTCCAAAAGTGAATACGTGCAGTACTTGGCATTAAATCCAGGGCTGTCACATTGCCCATCTCCTGACAGACATACCATTTTTCCACGTAATCCATCTATCAATAATCTTCTTTCTTTCTTATAATGATGATCGATTATTGGAAATAAAAATTGTTTTTGATATATGTAATGTATGGATTGTGAAATAAACGGCACTCCAAAAATTGCAAAAAGTTCCGCAACTTTAGCAAAGTGCGAACCACTGAACAAAATTGATGCACTTGCTAATAAATTTCCACAAGAACGGTTCCCAATCATAGGCTGGCTGCTCCAAAATTCGCAACGATGATTTGATTCACATACAGTGTATACTTTTAACAGAGTGCCTGATATAATTTTTTCTGTGTTTGTTATTGGAGCGTTACATGGTTCGTGAAAAGTACATGTTTGAACCTTTTTGATCAATAAATCGAGAGAAGTTTCAAACACAATAAACTTCTTTTCTGAAACATAATCCTCAGGAGAGGGCTCTGTTAAAAATGTTAGATCGCCAATATCGGTTGTTTCTTCTTCGGGACTGTAAATCGGGTCATTGAATTCTGAAACATTCAGAGTTGCATCCATTTCCGATACTCTTGTAATTGAAGAAATGTTTGAGAATGGCGTATCTATGTTTTCTACAGGAACGGACTGTTGTGAATTTGGGGATAACAGTAGTTCTGTCTCCATTGGCATTGCACCTGGCATAGTGCAAACCTTTTTTATAGTATCTGTTTGCTGTACAATTGCAGCGTTTGGTGAATTGTCAATGGATCCTGCAAATTCTTCTGTAGGACCAGTCCAAGTCCAGACATCCTTTGTTGGATTCAAACCAATTATATTGGTGGATACATCACTTGTTTGAATTACACTGTGGGTTTGTGTAGACCTGCTCCGCCTTCCGTAGTATTTCGAAGTTGATACACCTTTGGCAATCATTGTTAAATTTGTGGTGTTGGTAGCTATGTTCATAAATGATTTATCAAAAGCCAGTTTGTAATGGAAACCTGCTATATACTCGTGATCGTAAATAGATGTCTCAGACTGCGCTCCGAGGTCCTCTGACGGAGCTCCGAGGTCCTCTGACGGAGCTCCGAGGTCCTCTGACGGAGCACCGAGGTCCTCTGACGGAGCACCGAGGTCTTCTGACGGAGCACCGAGGTCCTCTGACGGAGCACCGAGGTCTTCTGACGGAGCACCGAGGTCCTCTGACGGAGCACTGTGTCCCTCTGTTGAAGCACTGCGGTCCGCTGACGGAGCACTGAGGTCTAACATTTCTATATCACTACTGTTTTCTGCTCTCCTTAAAGTCATATCGTGTAAAGTTTGTAAAACTTTAGCTTTTACAAAAATAGTTGGTTTTGCCATTAAAACCAATCGTGTTCTCCTTTCAGACTTTACTATCATATCTGATGTGAAATGGTCCGAACAAATTTTGAAAATCTCACTTTTTTGTTTTTCCATGATTAATTGAATTGAGCCATCTAGGTTGACAAATTCGTCACCTGTGGCTAAAAGCCATTCTTTAATTCTGTCCGGTGTACTTGGAAAATTAAAGAAAGAGCAATCTGGTGAATGTTTAGTGTGACTGTTTCTGCAGCCTACAACTAAACACTTTGGCATTTTGTCTATGTTTGTAAAACAATAAAAGGGATGACAAAAGAAAATAAGAATAACATGTAGTGTGATTGTTGGCGCCAACACTTCTCTTAAATAATACTGAAATTTTTTTGACATTGTTAATTTTGACAATTACAACTATAATAATTTTATTAAATTTAGTAAACTCAAAAATGGACGACGAACACATAAATAAACAGGCACTGAAGACTACATATACGATTCACAAAAAAAAAATATCACTTGTGTTCTAAATATTTGCACACATTCATGTATTATTATTCGACTGTTAAGAATTACTCTTTAACTTCCCTGCTGTCGCGCCAACGTGTTGGAGGTGCCAGGAGGACAACGGGACTCTATTACACATCTGGTGGGAATGCAGACTTATCGCACCATTTTGGAATCGACTCAAATCAGATGTTCTCCTAATCCTTGGGAACGACACTGAATGGTCACAAGAACTGGCCTTACTGCACATCTCCTCACAACCACTATCCGCATACAAAAAATCTGTACTGCGCCATCTACTGAACGCTGCCAAATCACTCATTCCAGTATACTGGAAGAATACAGACATCCCCACAAGAGAAGAGTGGATTCACAGGGTCGAAGACATTAGAGCGGCAGAGGCACTACAGGCAGAATTGACGGGCAGAGAGGCAAAATATGCGAACATCTGGGAACCGTGTCTCACCTTCCGTGCGCAACAATAGGGGGGGTCTGACGGGGGGAGCTGGGGGTCGGGGGACGGCGCAGCCCTCTCGACAGACCCACTACATACATTATGACCTGCGGCCACCAATGCCACTCCTGTTGACAGACACTACGCCTCATGTACCATCCACACCACTCCGACTGGACGAGACACTACAAAGGATGACCTGAGCCAACAAAAACGCCCCTAAGCGGCCCACATAAATACACACAATTAACTGGCTAGTCGACACTCACATATCGCCCCTAACTAGACAGCACGACACAGCGACGGACTATGAGCCCTCACAGGCAAAGACAGCGGTCTCCGGACCTCCACCGTCCCCACGGAGGGGACGAGACAAAATGAGACAGACCTAACACTGCACGATATCCACACCCAATCAGACGATAGACGTCAGACGCATCAACCTGACCCCCACGGGAACCCTGATTATACACCATACGACAAAACAGGCTGACTGGGACCTGACCGGACAGATGAACCATCCGAGGGACTGGGTGTTGCAGAGCACAACGACCCTCACATGTAGAGACCCCTCGCCCTCAACCCCCCTTACTTATGACGACGATATACCTTCACACTCACGGGGCATCACGGCCAACTTGTACCTCATACCTCCGTCAACACAAGACACCTGATACGACACTTCCAACGCACGCCTATTGCGACATGCACAACCCGATCATACAAGCTAGGCATGGAACACGACACGGTCAGGCAACAGGTCGACCAAGTCTGGGGAAACCTCATGACACAGCTGGGCTCTCCCGCAATGACCCTCCTGCACCAAATGCGGGCAGTTGAGGGAAGAATGAGAACACCTCGATTAAACATTCACATTGTTGGAGGGACTCTCCCATGCTATCGTGTCCTCTTCTCGAACCAACACCATCCTCTTCCCATCCCACCTACAATAATTGTGTAATGCCACATACCTTTATTGCCAACACTCAACAACGCCCTACCTGTGGGCTAAGACACACCCTAATCCAATACATCACACCCCACTTCCACACTTCTCGATGAGAAGACTTGACACACGAACCATTAGTATTCACACGGCTATAAAACGCCGATACATACCAATTACCCCGCACCGCCCTAGCCCTCAGGGGACTGATCTGAATAACTATGATTATCACGAGCTCTAGCTAAGTACCCCTGGGAGAGGGACACGGTAACGACTACTATTAACGATCTCATGTTACCTAATATTGCAACTGTAATAGATTCTAACCACACATATTTATACTGTTTGGATATCTGATGCTTTTATTATGTAACCTTGTATTCTACTATTAATGCGGGCCTGCGTGCCCAACTTTATTTACTGACTGGCTTCAATAAAAACTGATTAACAAAAAAAGAATTACTGTTTAAAACTGAAAACTTAATACAACACCCCCCCTAAAATAAAAAAATTAAAAAAAAATATTAAATATATCTTTAAAAAATTAAAATATGTTAGTTTAATTTATTGGAGATTGTGTTATGTTAATCTTTGCAAATTAAAGGACCACTCTAGGCACCCAGACCACTTCAGCTTAATGAAGTGGTCTGGGTGCCAGTTCCTTCTAGGGTTATCCCAATTTTTTAATAAACATAGCATTTTCATAGAAACTGCTATGTTTGTGAATGGGTTAAGCCTTACCCTATTTCCTCTAGCGGCTGTCTCATTGACAGCCGCTAGAGGCGCTTGCGTGTTTCTCACTGTGATTTTCACAGTGAGAGCACGCCAGCGTCCATTGGAAAGCATTATGAATGCTTTCCTATGTGACCGGCTGAATGCGCACGCAGCTCTTGCCGCGCGTGCGCATCAAGACAACGGGGATGAGAAGAGGAGGATGGGAGGAGGAGAGCTCCCGCCCAGCGCTGGAAAAAGGTACGTTTTAAACAGTTTCCCCTTTCAAGAGCCGGGCGGGAGGTGGACCCTGACATTTACATTTACAAGTAAAGTAAATAGCAATTAGATGACGTTAGACATTCTCATAGATTTTAACGTCAGATAAGTTAACTATAGAAATGCAATCAGAAATTCTTCACTATGGTAGAAGTTTAAAGGACCACTATATTGCGAGGAAAACATACTCTTTTTCCTTGCACTATAGTGCCAGGAGGGTGCACCGACCATCAGGGTCCCCCTCCTGCCGGGCTATAGGGTCAGGAAGGGGTTAAACTTACCTCTTTATCCAGCACCGGGCGGGAAGCTCTCCTCCTCCTTTTCCCTTCCTACTTCTTCTATTCGTCTTTGGCTGAATTTTTCAGCCACTCCATAAAAAAACCATTCACAATCCTTTCCTATGGACGCTGGCGTCACGTAAGTGCCACTAGCGGCTGTCAAGAGACAGCCAATGGAGGATGGATTAATCCATTTATAAACATAGCATTTTATCTGAAACTGCTATTTTAATTAAAAAATTGGTTAACCCTAGATGGACCTGGCACCCAGACCACTTCATTAAGCTGAAGTGGCCTGGGTGCCTAGAGTGCTCATGTAACGCGAATAGCCATAGCTTACCGATATTCAATACATTTACGATTTCTAAATTCTAAATATAAACAATTTTAAAAAGGAAAATGCACAAAATATACATGACACATGTACTAGATGCAGTGTGTTTATACAGGGGAGTTGTGTGTATTTGTGTAGTGTGTATATAATGAATGCATAGCGTGTGTGTGGTGTGTGTGTTTCGGGAGGTATGTAATTAAAGGACCACTCTAGGCACCCAGACCACTTCAGCTTAATAAAGTGGTCTGGGTGCCAGGTCCAGCTAGGGTTAACCCTTTTTTTCATAATTATAGCAGTTTCAGAGAAACTGCTATAATTATGAATGGGTTAAGCCTTCCCCCTAATCCTCTAGTGGCTGTCTCATTGACAGCCACTAGAGGCGCTTGCGTGCTTCTCACTGTGATTTTCACAGTGAGAGCACGCAAGCGTCCATAGGAAAGCATTGTAAATGCTTTCCTATGCGACGGGCTGAATGCGCGCGCAGCTCTTGCTGCGCGTGCGCATTCAGCCAGCGGGGCGGATCGGAGGCGGAGAGGAGGAGGAGAGCTCCCTGCCCAGCGCTGGAAAAAGGTAAGTTTTGACCCCTTTCCCCTTTCCAGAGCCGGGCGGGAGGGGGTCCCTGAGGGTGGGGGCACCCTCAGGGCACTATAGTGCCAGGAAAACGAGTATGTTTTCCTGGCACTATAGTGGTCCTTTAAAGGTTTCATTCAGTAAAAATTTTCAATAAACGTTACCACTCCAAAAAATTGCCTACCTTGATCAAAGTCACGCACAATGCTGATTCTGATGACGCAAGTCAATTCTCTGAAAATAAAAACAAAACAATATTATTTTTAAAAGAAATTAAAATTCATGTTTAAGATTAGTTGGATACATAAACATGATTTTGACTGTGTGCCAGCAGGCGAAAAATGCAGCCCCAAGAAAGGAAAAGTATAAATCCTGGGCAGCACTTTTCACGTGCTGAGCAACAGTGAAACTGTGGCAATATGGAGAAATGTATTTCTTCAACACAGCCATTTTATGTATGCCCTCCAGGAAAGCACAGGTGAAGAGCCTGTCTGCCTTGCATGCGCTGAAGCGCAAGATGAAGGACAGACCTTTTCCTGCGCTCCAAGGATGGCATACTAAAATGGTACATAACGATTGAATACACAATTCAACACTCCCTAACGGGTGGTAAAAAAAAATTGAAAGAAAGAAAGAAAGATAGCAAGAAAAAAAGTGAGTCTGACTGTGTGCCAGCAGGCAAAAAATGCAGCCCCAAGAAAGGAAAAGTAAAAATCCTGGGCAGCACTTTTCACGTGCTGAGCAACAGTGAAACTGTGGCAATATAGAGAAATGTATTTCAGCACCAGAACCTTTTGCATAGATATCTCTTTATCCGATATGTATAAGCATACAATAAGACA